GCTTTTCAGCGCTGGTGTACAGAGAAGGTTTAGAGACCACTTCATGCCTTTTAGGCAGCGTGTTGTTTTTCTACAACACCTGATGGATAGGGAGTTGGCTTTCAGTACGCTTTAACGTACGTTGCAGCCATCTCTTCCTGCCACAAAGGGTTTGGAGACAGAACAGCTTTTAATCACCCGCTGATGAAGCGGTTTCTAAAAGGTGTACAGAGATGTAGGCCTGTTTCATGCCCACTTGTTCCACAGTGGGATTTAACGCTGGTCCTGCGAGCCCTGATCAAAGCTTCAATTGAGCCTCTGGATCAGTTTTCATTTAAATTCTTGTCTCTTTAAACAGTCCTGCTGCTGGTTTTAACACCCGCTAAGAGGGTAAGTAATTATCTGCCCTTTCTGTTGTTTCGTCATGCCTTAGAATTAGGCTGACGGGCAGCTCAGCTGTTTTAAGACCAACCCAGCTTTTATGCCTAAAACATCACGAGCTCTTTTAAATCAAGAGTGATGTCGTTGGAGGGGTCTTTTCCCCCCCACAGATCAGAAGGGGAAGCATCTGTTCATCTTCTCTGCCCGGTGCAGGCGTTGACGTGTTACGTAACGCGCACAGCTGCAATGCGTTCAAATTCAACAATTGTTTGTGCATTATAGAGATGCTTCTGCAGGTCGCCGTTATCCATCCAGCGCTTGTCACACTGGCTGTGTGAGGCCTTTTTCTGAAGCCTACAGAGCATCAGATTTAGGGCCTCCTGTCAACCTCTAAGCACACTCGACCAGGGGTATCGCATCTTCGACTGCTCTGCATAATGGTATGTCAATGCAGGACATTTGCACTGCGGCTGCATGGTCAACACCCTGCTCATTTATTCGCTTTTACCTACGTGATGTAACGGCTCGTTCCATGACACATTCTGTCCTTAGTGCCCTAACAGAATGAATATTGTTGTTCTCATGGAACTCTGTTTAAGCTCACTTCTGTCTGCATGCATTACAGTGTGAGATGTTGTTTTCAGTCACAGTCGTGTCTGTGATTTTGGTTCTATTGTCACTAATCAGTTCATGATTATTGTTAACAATCAGTTCATTTGATTATTGATCAATTCATGGACATTAATCTGTTTATACTGTTCAGCCATGAACCAGTTGGTTCATGCCCCCCTCCCCCCCCTCTTTTAAACTTCCTCTTCCCGTTGAAAGTTTTTCCGGGGTATTCATGTTTGTCAGAACGCATAGTTACACAACATGCGTCTGTGCATGGCACATAATTACGCGATGCGTAGTTTATGCACACGGGGAGCTGAGTGACAAGACGCTTTTTGGGCAAGCTTCCGCTTCTTACTGTGTTCGAATGGACCCAGTGAGGCGAGGACCACATCCGCTTCGCCCTTAAACCATCAGCGACAGCCTTAAAGGGCGAAGCCTATATGAAATAGAACGTTGGTTACGTACTGTAACCCCAGATTCTATGAATATAGGCGTAGCCCTTTAAGCGTCGGGCCTCACTGGCTCCTAAATGGCTGAAGAAAAAAGCTATTTTGGGAGCCGATTTCCCGCTCTTAACGTAATTTATACGGACCGGGTGGGGCCCACACAGCAGGTGGGCGTGGACTAATTTTTTTTTCAGTGCTTATGCTGCGCATAACGGGATAAACCATCAGCGACAGCCTTAAAGGGCTACGCCTATATTCATAGAATCTGGGGTTACAGTACGTAACCAATGTTTTGACATGATGCTTCATGCTGTATTTTTTTGTTCATATCCAAAAAGTAATAAACTAAAACTAAACTAAAACTGAAAATGAAAAATGATAATGATTAACTTTGTATTAATTTGATGGGACCCTATTTCTTTTAAAGGGGTCACGTAGACTAAAACCAGGCACACAAATGTTCTTCTATAAAATAACAGAACCACGGGATGAACTCAGTTTTAGGGTAAACTTCTAGTTGTTTATGTTAAAACTTATACTTGGGAATATTTTCCATTACTTTTTTCCCTCCAATAACATGTCTGCTAAGGAATTTATAATACAGATTTACACCCCCCCCCCCCCCCCCCAAAAAAAAAAAAAAAAGTCAGGTCCTCTGGATTCTTCTTGCGCAGGTGGTTAAACATCTTCTCATAAATACATCTTAGAAATAGCACCTTTATGTTTATACGAATGAGTTGGTTGTGGCGCCTCAGACTGATGAAGTCTTTTGGATAAAAGATGAAACATTTCAACAAAAATAAACCATCCAGAGGACCTGACTTAACTTTGTTGGATTTTTCTGTTTATTCGTGCTATTTCAAGGCTAAGACAAGCCAGTGTCCTCTAAAACAGGGGTTCCCAAACTTTTCCATGCCATGCCCCCCCTCTTGCAAAACCACAAACAATGTACAAAATATGTAAAGAAACATCAACTTTTAGAATGTTTTAACTTTTATTCACTGTATTCAATTATTACAGTTGCTAAGCATAAACATATTATTAACTAACATGTTTTAAACACTGTATTATATTCCCACTCAAGTGGCACTGACGTTTTAAAGGTTTTTAACACTCGTTTGCGAGGGTCTCCAGACAGAGGACACATTTCAGGCAATCATGGCCATTTTTCTGTATGACTGTAAAGCCATACTTAATGTTTGCATCCTCATACCTTTGAATTTTAGCTGGAAATGAGTTCTATTGGGGGGGGGGGGGGGGGGTTGCAGCAGTTTCCACCACAGCAGGGCTACTGGTTGGTTCCTTCAATCTTTTTTTTTTAGAAACTTCTTTATTTCATTCTTGCTATGCTTGAAGAGTAAAGCAGCTTAATATATTTGACTGGCCAATCAGAAAGATGAATATGGTGAAAAATATTTCAATATATTATTATAATATATGTATATTTTTAAATTATTGAAAAACATATTTGATTTTATTACATTAATTTATTTTTTTTAGTTTTAATTAAAAAAAAATAAAAATAACTAATATATTTTTGCTTTTTAATTTTTTTTTCTCCCCAGCTTTCTGGCGGGCCCCCAAGGGGGTCGCGGCCCCCACTTTGAAAAACACTGCTCAAACGTCTAAAATAAGTAAGTAAGCAAGTAAACTTTATTTATATAGCACTTTTCATAGATATAATCACAAAGTGCTTTACAGAAATACACAAAAATTTGATGGTAGCATACACAATTTCTAAATCTGAAAGTAATGTTCACATTGAATTCAGCCAAGCGTGTTTTTCTGATAATATTGTTGAAACTAAAGCATATTTAGTTTGAAGTCTCTCCTTTTCTTGTTCTTGATTTGCCACTTACTAAAGCGTGTTTTGAATATTGCGTGTTTGCAACCAAAATTAGTTTAGATTGTATTGCATGGTTAGATTATAGCATTGTCAAATATAATAGACAATATAATTAAAAACACTAACAGTGGCTGGACATAAATTCAACACAATACTGTGTAAGTACCTCCAGTTATTACACAGGACATAATTATCTTGTAAAAATATAAACTCGGCTGCATACGCTCTGCAAACTCTATGAAACAACTCATCAGAGCAACCTGGACATGAACAACTTTGCCCGTAATCAATGTCAACTGCCACTTTAAAACTAATTATCAGTATTTTCATTCACACGTGAGTGTTTTTATCTTGAAACTCATCACTTGAGCTATGCAATAAACAAATATATTTAAAAAAATGGCGAGCATCACTGTTTCTTTTCTCCGTTCATGTCTCCTGGAACTGAAACATCCCTCTACAGAGGAGACCAAATGTGACAGAATCAAAGTGAATAATTCACGCTGGTGATGGGGACCCATGAGCTCACAGTCTGAATGATTTATGTGTCATTTTATACCTTCATAATGTCATTTCAACGTGTAGAAAAGCTTGTTTAGATAACCTAAGGAACACTAAATGAGGCGCCTTTTAAATTTCCTACAAATCTTTGCCTGTTTAGGTTCAAAACGTGATTAATTTGGTTTACTTTTATGATTATTGTAGGTCTAAGCCACTGTTCAAAAGGATCTTTTGAGTTTATCTAATGAGTTTGGTGTGCTAGTATCAGATTATAGCTGAATTACAGAGCCCAGTTTTATTTCAGTGCTCTTTCAGTACTCTTAAACTGGGACTTGGCAGCCCTTTTCAGCATATGTTTTATGAGCCTATGGTAAAGTCTATAACAGCAAAACAAACAGATAGGATCTCACAATCACTGCCTCTGTCCTCTGATATTGTGAGTTGCACATAGAAAGAATTTAAACCTTCATCTATTTTTCAAACGAGCAAATGGGTCGAATGTACTGATAAGAAGGGGTCTGGAAACAATGAAGTTTGTTGACAATCACTTCTCACAAAACAAGCACGGTGAACCTGTCAAAGGAAAATGACTTTTTTGATTAAAATCCATTTTGGGGCTATAGATTTGAAGCAACAATGGCAGCAAAGAATGACCTCAAAACTTCAAGAAAAGTAAAAGCATCCTATAAAGGAATGCATCCTCTGCCTTTTATGTCAGAGATTAAACTGAGACCATTTTATGTTGCAAAATGCTGGAGTTGTGGCTTAAAATAAAATTATGCACCACAAGATGTACTGAGAGTATGTGCTGTTGTTCTACCACATCAAATTTGAGCTCAATTTCTGTAAAACTGACTGACTTTTATCTATTTATGAATAATGATGGCTCCAAAAAGTAATCAGATTATTTCCTGAAAGGTTCAATACAATTCATCCAGCGGTTCATGAGATACTGTGTTTTGGGTACAGACATACAGATGTGGGCAGAAACCATATTGCCAATCTTCATCTTTCCACTGTGGGCACTGAAAACAAGAAAGACCATCTTTGTCCTGTAATTCTGCTCATAGTTTGCTTCTACAGTTCAACAAACACAACGTGAGGTAAGATTAGACTGCCCTTCGCTAAATCCCATGGTCATGATAGTATCTACCGGTAATTGATTGCCACAGTTTAGTCAGATGCAGTGGTGATCTGCTGGATTTTTTTTTTTTTTTTTTTGTGGTACTCACACTGCAGGTTTTTGACTGGTTTGTCTTTCAGGGTGCAAGCGGCCAAGCTCCATTCAATGGGGAGGTCGCAGGGGCTGACAGTCACCGACATCCCCGAGGCCTTCTTCCTCAGCGTAAAGTACAACCTGAAGACGAAAGATATCCACAAGACGTGGCGTCATTATTCACGGGGAATGTCAAACAGATAACATCTTGCTTCCATTCAGCTACAAGGACACGGTGCTTTCTGTGCTGTGTGAGACCTTTCACTTTGTTGGATGGCTTTTAATGAGCTGGGTGGGTTCTTTTTTGGCTTATCAAAGATTGATCGTTTTGATGTTACAGCCACTGGTGTAGTCGACATTTTTGTACTGGGTATGCTGTGCTTAGAAGCCAAAGTACACTGGTCAGTACAATGCAATCGTCAATTTATTTGGATTTTTAAGCATATGGAACATTTCCAAATTTCTCTGATGCTTATATTTGAATAAATGAACGGCAAACTTTGTACAACAGTTGGCTTTGTATTAAGAACATGTTATAGACTTTATAAAACAGTATCAGAGCAAAGCGCTGCATACCGATAGATTGTTACGGAAGTGTTTAATTGCCATATCAATGACACGTGCTTAATGATATGTCTTGTATCAATGGGCACTTTTAAGTGGGTATACTGAAATTCTTACGCTTTTCTAGTGGGTATACTTCGTACACCTGCATATCACGTAGACTACACCAGCTGTTTCAAGCATTTTTAGTTAGGTTTCCATTTGGGTGCTTACATAGGAGCCCACTGCTCCGCCTGGGTGCAACTCACATTTAATGGGTTGAATGCAGAGAACTAATTTCTTCATTGTATGGGAACATACAATTATGACAACACATAGCACTTTATTTATTTTATTATTATTATTCTCTGACATTCAGATCAGTTCTTGACATCAAAATGGAAACTGTGATGTGGACCCATTCGTTTGATTTGTTGATTACAGCGCACATGCTCACCCTATTGTGGTCCTTTAGCACTATATTTCACTTTTTGGATTATTTTTATTATGTGAATGACGTTATTACATTTTGCTTCTTAGAGCGTTTAGCTCATCATTCACCACTTTTAGCTTTTAGCTTTCGTTCTGCTTCTTTAAGCTTTTTAAGCCCTGTTTCAGCTTCTCCATCAAGGTCAAACCGCATTCAGAATTAACTTTGCATAAAAAAAAAACATTTCTTTCTGTGCTTTGAAGCCAAAATAAGCTGTCTTCTCTATTTAGTTGTGCTTAATGAAAATTTATTAACTGTGTGATTATTTCTCAATAAATATTTGTTCTCCGGCGGCGCAAAAAAACAACTCTTCACAATCCTGTGCAGATGGTGGTTTGTTTCCAAACAGATGTGCAACAATGTTGTTTCAAGGGCACACTCTGCTGCTTATTTAGCAGAGTGATTAATTTCTGAATCATTGTTTTCTCTTCATTATGTGCAGTGTGGTGCTGCATGGGTGGACAAACTGCAGGGCGCGGTTTCATTTTTAGCTCGCATTTTTCAGAAATCAAGCTCTGGCTCTGTTGTGTTCAGATCAGGCCAAATGAGCTCCACTTCCTCTTGCTGCCTCGGCTCACTGTGGCGCTGGAATCGGCCTCTGACTGTACACAGACCGGTGTCAGGTGACATGTGACTGAACTCAGACAGATGTTATGGATATATTTAATGAAATATGACAAGTTGGAAACTTAGGAGGTTGTTATGCACGGATGTTAGTGTTCAAACCAAATGTGATTTTGTGCATCAAAATTAAAAGTAAAACAGTCAAAACCGTTTTCTGTTGGGATTAAAAATTATTTTCACTGGATTGATATGATATAAAAGAAAATCCTATTTAAACAGAAGTGCATTCTTACAGAAAATGTGAAGTGGTTTATCATAACCATGCTAAAAAAAAAATCCAATTTAAAGTCAATTTGATGTCCAAATAAGAGATTCATAAAGCAAGAAGGCTCAAGCTCGGCTGACCATTTGATCAAATTTTCATCCTGTGCGTGAAATGTGTTTGGATTTTGGGTTAGACACACAAATCAATTAAAAATAAAACTCAAGGAAATCCTAATTGTTTAGTAGTTTCCATTTTATAGCTAACAGGCAATCATTACTGCCACTTTTCAATTTTATAGCATTTTGTTTTATATGCTTTTTATTTTAATATCTTGTAAAAATTGGCACTTTGGCATATTGTACTGTCATGATCTGGTCAGCTGGACTTAAAACGCAATCAATAATTTTTTTTTTCAACAAAGCGACACTGGAGAGCCCTCATGCCCCGTTGAGATGCCCGTGGCAGGCTGCGTCATGGATCTGATGTGCCTTTCTGTTTTGTCTCAGGAGGACGCTGAAGATGTTTATATCACTGGAATCATGATAGCAGGGTGTCTGCTTTTTGGCACCGGCGGTGACCTGTGTTATCGGCTATTAAAGAAGACGGCGGCAGCAGTTTCGACCATGGCAAAGCTGCCGACCCTATGTGAAGGTTTGGTTTGTGCTTCGAGCACTCAGCTGATATATGAGCTAAACCGTAAGATGGAAGCGATTTGTGAGAATCGTAGGCCACTTGCCAGCATGTTGGGGACGACCTTGGAGGGAGTTAATAAGCACGGACTAGCGGAACGCCCACAGATCTGGCCATTTTGGATCGAAAGTACCAGCAGAACACAAGGCTGATAAGAAAAAACAGTCTGCCTGAAAAAAAATCAACAACTGTGGCTTACCTGAATCTGACGCCCCTGTTTGGACTCGAAGCAGGCCAACTTATCAAATTTCTCCTGTTATATGTTTAAATTAAGAAGGCTTTGTCTATCTTTTTTTTGTAATACCACTATCCTCTCCTCATGGCCTTTTCCCTCTTTTCTATCTAAAATTATAAGGGGCCACGCTCTTAGGAGCAGCAGCAACGTGCACTCCGCCCACCTTTCGGACGACTGTACGAACATAATCTCACTGTATTTCGCTGCAATGATAATAAAGCTTATTCTGATTGTTTATGTTTTTTCCTTGCTTTGATTTTATCCAAACAACACCCCACAAAAATATCAGTTTTGAAGCTTTTATTTATAAATTCATAGCCGTTCTTTTCTTCTAAGTTTTTCTAATATGTTATGATACTTTTGTACAAAGCAGTCAAGAAAGTTAGCTCTAAGGCACTGTGTGCTTTATTGAACTACAATGCACTTCTAATAATGACGTAATAATAAAGGCAAAATTTGTCATTTTCTGGCTTAAGTCAAATCTTTTGCACTTTTAGAAGATAATCAACTAGTCTACTTTTAGAGTAATGATTATTATAAATATTAAACTGTTGGAACATCCCTTATATCTCTCTAGTTTTTCTCCATTATGGTACTGTAGGAGTCTTCACTGTTATGGTTTCCAAGTTATTTCCCATAGAGCAATTCATGCATTCTAATAGTACAGTGTTGCATTTCAAGAGACGTGGAGTCATGTTCCTCGCTCATAATTAGCGTCTAGTTGAGGTGTAAGTGACTTTATGTAAATGAGACGTGTCCCGGAGGACGTCCTGCTTCTATAATCTGAAGACAAACCTGACAGTTGTTGATTTTAAATGAAGACAGACTCAAAAACTGCATGACATGTTTCTTCCATCAAACATTTTCAGGCGTACACTTTAGCAAACTATTTACATAACCTCAAAGAGAAATGAAAAAGTTTCCAGATGGACTTTTATGTTGGTCTGAACTAAATCCAGAGGCAGGCAGCCTGTAAGTGAGAGCATTTATCCAGCCTTCGTTGCTGTTTCTTTTCTCAGGACCGGTCTATGTCCTGGGACACTGATGTGTTCAGTCCTTGGACTCTTCAAGACCCCTCAAATCCAAGTCCGATTTGATAGATCTAATTTAATCTCATTAAAAAAAAATTGAACTGGAGAAAAAAGACAAGTCTTAAGATTAAATATTCACCACTCAGCTCGGTAGATGATAGAACTGGACATTTTGCCATTCTGCTAACGTTCTTCAATCTTATTAACGAAGCTCGACAGCTGTTCTATAGTTCCTTAACTTTGGCCTGAGCTGATCTGACTGAAGAAAGAAAACAAGCTACTAGGTAAAAGTATAAAAAAGACTCAATTGTTTTCCACTGACCTCATTTTTTATTCCCATTCCAGCCAATCTGCTTCTTTACTTTAGCTCGTTATGTCTAATTCAGTGGAAACGCTTTAGCACTTCATGTACCTGCGAGTTCGTCCCTTAGGAAGAGTTACAGAGGTGATCTTTCCTTCTGGTAACCATGTAGTCGAGCGAAGTGGCACCTCGTTCTCAGGCGCCAAAGCCGAGTGGACCAGAGGAGAGCCACAGATCAGTGCCAAAGCTGCGCCGTAACACCAGGACAGTGACGCGGGTGCCATCGCTGATTCTGGCTCCCTTGCTCTTCCACTTGCCGTCCTTCCTTTGAGCTTGTGGATTTCTCCCAGACTCTGAAAACGCACAGCAGAAAGGTCAAGAGCATCAATCAGGGCCTCGCCTGCAACAAACACTCACAGTGATATGAAACGCACTTAGTTCAACTTTTACTGGACTATCCACGCAGACACTAAAGAGCTGCACTGACTGATGTATCACTGATACGAAGAAACATCCTCTCCTATTCAGACAGAATTATTCATGTCGGGGATAAGAAATCTCTGCTTTATTACTCTGGGTTATGTGAGTAGCACAGCTTGACACTGTAAAAAAAACATCGCACCACTTTTCAAAGTGTGAAGTGGGTAGCTAATGTGGTTTGGAAGTTGATGCCTTCGTATCTACATGTCTATTTTTAGCTGGAGGGGTTCAAACGGGTATAATATCCAAATTTCTAGTGTTTTGGGCAGGTATTTTATCAGCCCACAATGCTGAAGAGATGAGGACACAACTAACACCTGTAGGTGGTTTGATGCACCTGATCAGCATGAATTCATGCATCAGACAACAAAAGGAACTCATATTAGACACGTTGCTCTCTTTATTTAGTCTTTCTCACACTCTATTAGTGTTCTGCAGTCTTGTTATCTGTATGTGGGTGAACTGTTTCGTGTGTGGTTCAGTGGTAGTAATTGCAGGTCCCAGTGTTTTTCTTTCTCTCCAGAGAAAAACGCATTTGTTCAAAGTCACGCCGCCTTCGCTCCCTACCCTCCCTACCCTCCCTACCCTCACCTAACAAGGTGTTTTATGTCAGCGCTGTGCCCTATAGATCAGATGACAATCACGGTGGAAATCACGGAGGCAGCTACAGAAGGTACATCAGACACTTTTGGGCCCCGGGACACTCCGACATCCAAACTCACAAACCGACTCAAGGCTTCAAAGTCGCACAGAAGCGCCTGCTCATTATCCTCACGCAGAAAGGAGGGAGTGAACGACCCATAAAGCTTTAACTGAGAGACATGCAGAGGGAGAGGAAACGAAAACACAGATTGAAAGGGAGGGAGGAGAGGATGGGGAGACTGAGGGAGGGGAGGGATGTGGAAATGGAGAGCGAGAAGAGGAGGATGTTGGAGTAATTACATGGAAGAAGACAGAGAGAGCGAAGGAGGCAAAGTGGGGGAAAGTGATGCTGGGAGAGAGATGGATGGAATGAAGAAGAGTCAAAAGCATGTCTGCAACGTGACGAGCGGCCTGCGATGAGCTTCTGAGTCTGAGACATATGAAGCTGACCGGTGTTTGCTTGAGCCAAATGTCCAGGGCGCCACACACAACCAGACGGCTTCACAACCTCACACACTCCCCCTCAGTCACTTGATGAAGACGAACACACACAAAGGAAAGCTTTGCAGGGCCTGTTTCTTCAAAACCAGCCCCACTGATAAAATATGCATAGACTCCTCAGCAAATTATGGCCAATTGAATTTTCATAAGGCCAAAAAAAATAAAAAAATAAAAAAAGCTGGGTCTTTTTTGCTTTAAAGGAAGGAGCTTGGTTAAGTTAACTACAGCCCTCTATAAATAAATACACACTTCACTTTAAACACAGGAGCTCCTGACAGAGCTTTGATGGTCCAGCTCTCTGCTCAGCTCCGAGTTTCTTCTTTCCATTTTGTTTATCCCAGACTCTCAAATGACTGCTTTTTATTCTGGACTCTGTTTGGGCTTTTGATTAACTCAAGCCCTGCTCTGTTTGCCCTTTTCCGTGTCCTTCTTTTTTCTGTCTCCTTTTTTGGCTCCATTTGTTTGGAAGTTGCTCAGTCGGTGTGTGCTATCTGTCTGCACATTGTATCAGCAGTCTTCTGTCTCCCTGGGCTCCGGCAGGACCATCTGCCTTCTGTTATCTGTGAGCAGGGACAGATTAAATGGCATGGGGTGGTCCCTGCAGGATCTGTTGTCCCCCCCTCAACACCACCACCAAAACTACAGCGGGCAAACGAACCGGCCTTTTGATTAATAAGAAGGGTTGACAAGATGACAGCGGGGCGACTAGCATTGATCATGGAACTTGATAGGATTTCACGGCTGATTTTCTACCTCCCCCTGCGAGTCCAATGGAATAAATGAGTCCCTTTCCTGTTGTCCTTACTTTCCACTGTCCCTTTTGTGCTCGGATCTCTCCTTCTCCTGCGTTTTGGTCTTTCGCAAACTTTTAATCTGATACGTTTTCTCTGCCCGTTGTCTAAAACCAGTGTTCTTCTCTGCTGTTTTGCTCTTCTAAATATAAAAGAGTTACAAGTTGGTAGAGTGAGGGGGGGGGGGGGGGGGGGGGGGTAAAAAAAGACATGAGTGCAACATTTAAAGTTAAAAACAGCCACTCACTCTCAATGTGTCTTCCACCCTCAGGAGTCAGAAATAAGTAAGTCAAAGAAAGAAGTTGCTGATTTACTCAGACACACACACTCAAGCTCTGCAAGGACAACATGCACGCGTGCATCCCCCTTACCTTCTCTCAGCCTACGCTTTCTGTGGTGCAGGGAGCGAGGGATGGGATCAAATGAGAGACAGAGAGAGAGGATGGAGGATGGAGGATGGAGGAGGAGGAGGGGAGGATGAGAGCTGGTTGCAAGGAGAGGAGGAGCGACAGCAGGTTGTTGTTGGGTGTTCCACTGACTCCCTTCTCCCATGAGGCGCTGTAGTAAAAGGAGGTGTTTCCAAGCCAGCTCAGGTGTCCCATCCCCCGGGGGGGCCTTGTGCTCCTCTGCTCCCTGGAGGCTGCTGCACCCACTTTGCCTCTCAGTCCTTCACACGTGGAAGCTCGTCCTGTTAAACGCCGTGTGAATGTCATCCGGTCGGCGAGGCCTGCATCCCTCCCCACCCGTGATTCCTGTTATAGTGAACGCAGCTCACTTGCAATTCAAATGGGCTCAAGTGTGACTGTGTGTGTGTGTGTGTTTGTGTATCTGAATGTGCAATCTGAGAGTGAGGGAGTGAGTGGGTGAGTGGGCTGCTGGTGAGGTCGCCAAATGGGGGGAGGTGATGAGAAAACAGGGAGGGAATGCAGGAGCAGAATTACAGAACGGTTAGAGGTGATGGAGAAGTTAAGCACTGTGCACAACACACCAGTCAGACTGCTCCCATAATGGTTCTGCAGTAAACAACAACATTTTGTCTGGAGAGCAACGATGCGTTGCTTTTCAGTGACAAAGACATTAAAATAAAAGGTTTTAGCACAACAAAGTAGGCAACAGGTGTGTTAGAAAAAAGTAACAGAGAAAGATGCATGTCACCCCTTCTTTTTGTTGGATCTGTTAGCGCAGAGTATGTTCTGAGCAGCACCACCCGGTTCAGAAACTAACCACTCGATGCACATTTAATCCAATTCAAGACGGCAATTCAAGGTTGGACCAAAACAGTTATTTCTTAACATGTTCGTTCAAAACTTATCAAAGACGGCAGGCGTTTTACCCCCTCGAGGAATGCTAGACCTTTAATTTTATGATGCAAGCAGTGTTCAATATTAAATATTTCTCCTCCTCTTGTTTTTAATCTTTAATTTACTAGACATGTCAGACTACAGCAAATATAAATATTATTCGGTATTCCGCCTGCATTGAGCCGCTGAGTTTCAGACTAATGTCTATCATTATAGAAACATGTATGCTGCTATTTAATGAAATTGAAAGCGACCAGACAGAGACATTTAAAATCCATAAACAGCCCAGCCATAATGAAGGTTTCTTGTCTTCAACCTACAGGTCAAGTGCAGATCTTGGAGGACCGATGGCATTCATATCAGTGGCTCTCCAACCCCACCCAGCCCCTCTCATCTCCACACAATGCTGGGCCTCCTCATGAACCCTGTTCTCCATCCCTCCTGAGTTCTTTAATCAATATCATCAGGAAAATATAAAGAGCTGAGCTAACTCCTCCTTTTCCATTTTTTTTTTCTGATGGGGCCTTTTCTCACTCTTTCACTTCGCACTTCAGCGTATAGGGCTATTGAGGTCGCTCTGAATGGGTCCCACTCCACCCTGAGGGAATATTGTCTGACCACAGAGAAGAATCTGAGAGCGAGAGAGAGAGAGAGAGAGAGAGAGAGAGAGAGAGA